GGGGGGGGGGGGCGCAAGTGTTGCGCTCTGTAAGTCTACTATGCAATGGTATGTTGATAAGGACAAACCATAGGACCCGAAACACGAAAGACACCAAGAACATAGTTCAAACACTATTCAGTAAAGGGATCTGGCCAGGAAAAAGACGGACAAAGAACAGATGGACATTCTACACAAAAAACCTTAGTGGAATCATTCATGGAACCTTACTCTATTGAAGGACCCTCTACTACACCTCATAACGCTGCCTCAAACCGCAACTGTAAGCAACAAACTCTGATCAAATACGCATGGCCGGCTGCCGTCCAATGTGCTGGTGCCACATCCTAAACCCTAAACACTCTAAACCCTAAACTCCTGAACCCTAAACCCTAAACCGCCTAAACCCTAAAAGCCTAAACCGTAAACCCTAAAACCTTAAACCCTAAACCGCCTTTAACAAAATATCTGGGCTTTGGGACCAGCCGAGGACCATCGGATGCTGCAGCGCAAGCTTCCCTCTGAGGTCCTCTGAGGCTTTAGGCTTGCTGAAAGGGCTTGTAGGGCTTCAGGGTTGCAGGGTTTAGGTTTTAGGGGTTTGGGGTTTAGGGTTTAAGGTTTCAGGGTTGCAGGATTTAGGCTTTAGTTTAGGGCTCCTAGGCTCCTAGGGTTTATAGAGCATAATTTAAGAAGGAGCAAGCAGAGTTAAGACAACGGCCTTCTCGGGGTCATACCTCTGGGCGCAGGGGAGGGACCTGACAGATCGCTAAGGCGCCACGCAAGCAACGGAACACAATTTGCCGGTGACAAAAATCCCTGAGGGCCCATGTACCCAAATCGTATATACTTTGGCCTTAAAGTAGTCCCTATGTAGGTAAAGTATGTGCTATTTGGGCACATGGACCCTTAGGGAATCAAAAACAAGAGGGCCTCGACGTCTCAGAATGCAAAGTCCTGTCATGCAGCCAGCTGGTCCCCCAACGGCCGGTTGCCCCAGAGCGCCTCCCCGAGCGAGGCCTCTTCTGTTTGGGCCGAGGGTTTTAGGGTTTAGGGTTTAGGGGTTTAGCGCTTAGGGCTTAGGGTCCGGCTGCACCTCCAGCACTCGGCCAGGCAAGCCCATCAGCAGCCCAAGGCGCTGTTGCAGGGACAACAGCACCTCCGGCTCATCTTGGAGCTCTTCCACGCGGAGGCATTCCGGGACATCATCGATCTCAGAGATCCACCTGCATGCATGCATGTACGTAGGTATGTGGCTACAGACGTATGGAGGTCTGTTGGTATGTAGGCATGTATGCATGCATAGGCGGCCCGACAGCAGCCGGATAGATGGGCAAACAGATCTACACATAGCCACTGCTTCTGGGGCCTCCTTCTACAACCGTAAGCCCGAAACCTATAAACCGGTTTAGGGTTTAGGGTTTTTGGGTTTAGGGTACTATAAACCCTAAACCCTAAACCGATAGAGTCTAGTGCGCAGGCTTTGAAAGGTACCCAACAGTATGACGCCCAAGTCTCAAACGGCCAATGCAAATAGACCCAGACCTCTGATTGCGGAACCCATTTCCCCCCCCCCTAAAAAAAACACTGAACTTCTCAGAGACTGAACGGTGTAGGGATCTACAGTGCACCTCAAACCCGTATACAGCTATTGGGCTTGGAGGAATTGCGGGTCTAGGAGCTAGGGCTTAGAGCTTAGGGTTTGGGGTTGAGGGCTTAGGTTTGAGGGTTGACGGCTTAGGGTTAGGGGCTTAGGGTTGACAGGGTTGAGGGCTTTGGGTTTCGGGTTTGGGGCTTAGGAAGGAAGCTTCTGCATATGATCAGCGACTCTTGCCACTTGCGTCGGTAGGGGGCATAGACTCTTGAAATCGACTTTAGGCGTCCGAAGAGTTAGGCCCTACCTGGAGCCGGCCTCTCCTGCCTTTTTAGGTCCCCTCGAGAATCGTTCTCCAAAGAAGGGTCATATTTACAAACAAGGGTCAAAAGCCATTATCTAAGATTTCGGGGTTTTGAGGAAGTTTAAGATAATCCAAGAGGGGTGGGTTATTCATCAAATAACTGGAAGTTGAATCCTTCGCTGAAAGAAGCTCGGGTTGGAATGCTAGCAGGAAGAGAGCATTGTACAACTGTTTAAATTAGGAAGATCCCAGAAAATACCATAAGAACCGAATCCAAGCCTCCGACCCACCTTCTCCTCATTTTCCTGCCCCATCATCGGTCATCTTCGACGTCGAGCCCATCAAGTGGATGGAAAGCGCTGGG